ATATATAAGATATATTTAAAATATTATAGTATAATTAATTTGAAATAGATTATGTCAAAATATATTGAAAGATGTTAAAGAATATTAAAGAATGTCAGAGTATGTAAAAGGATATTGAAAGACATAGAAAGATGTGAGAAGATATGGAAAGATGTGAGAAGATGTGGAAAGACATGAGAAGATATGGAAAGATGTAAAAGGATGAGGAAGAATATCAAAGAATATCAAAGGATGAGGAAAGATGTTTGAGATCATCATTCAAGTATAACTGTTCTATCAAAATTAAAAATAATCTTTCACTATACTATTCTACTATATACATAAATATCATATTACAAAATAATAAAAATATAGATCCTGAATATTAAATAAAATATAATATTAAAAATAGAAATGTGATAATAAATATAGTAATAAATGATATAGAAAATAGGAATAATTATCAAATAAATAAAATTATAATAAAATGTAATATTTCATAACTAGAAAAAAATTAAGGAATTAAGAAATTTTATAACACTATGGTAACAATATATTATATATTTATAATTAATTAATATTTTAGCTTTAATATTATATTATCTATTTAAATTCATAAATCTTAAGCTTAATATATATTTTTTCTAATTTATTAAATATTTACTAAATAATTTATTCTAATTATAATATAATTAAAATATATTATTTAGTAAAAAGTCTAAAAATCTAAAAAAAATTATTAGACTAAGAATTTTAGTTATTTTTTAAATTAAAAATAAAAAACTTTTTATATATATAATAAAAATATATATTTATTAATTATAATTAATAAAAAATTCAAGTTTTTAATTTATTATTATATAAAAAAAATAAAATATTATTAATTTTAATTTAATTAAATATTTATAAAATATTTATAATTTAATATAAAAATATTAATATATTAGATAAATATTAATAGATTATTTTTTTAAAATAAAATTTTAATTCTGTCTTATTTAATTAAATTATTAGATAATAAAATTTATTTATATTTTTTATAAAAAAATTTTACTAATATAAATTTTTTTGAATGTTATTTTTTAAATTTTACTATACAAAATTTGATTAAAATTAATATAAAAATTATATAATAAATAATTAATTATTAAACTTTAAATCTTAATATCTTTATAACTGCTAATTTAATTTTTATAAATTTAAAATATATATTTATCAAATCTAGAGTAACCTCTTTATATAATTTAAAGTTCTAATTTTGTAAATTAATAATAATAATATTTAAAATATGTTTTTTTAAAAAAATAAATTTATTTTAATTTTTTTAGTAAAGTAATACTTTATTTATTATTAAATTAAAGTATAATAGAATAATTAAAATAATATAAAAAGTTAATTTAGATTACTTTTATTTAATATAAAAAATTATAAAGATTTATTAAAATTTAATAATTTCTATTAAAAATAATTATTAATTTTATATTGATATATCAATTTTTTATACTAGATCATATTTATATAATATGAAAAAATTTGAAAATTTATTATAATTTAATAAGAAATTATTTAAATAATATAAAATTTATATATAATTATATCTCTTTAAGTAAAAAAATATAAAATATATATTTAAAAAGAATATATATTTATAAAAATTAAAATATATAGAGCTTTTATAAGCTAAAATCAGAATATACTATATATCTAAAGAAAAGTTATATAGTATATGACTTAGAAAAAATATACTTAGAGAGATTTAACTATATATATATTTAATATTTATAAAAAATTTTGCTTAAGTTTATTTAATAAGAATATTATTATATATTTGAATTATTTTTAGATTAAAAAATAGATTTGAAAAGTTTTATAAAAATATTATATAAAAAATAAAAATTTCTTATAATTAAATAATAAATTTACTTTAAAAATAATATATAAAATTATTTTATTAGAATTATTTTTGAAAATTATTTAAAAAATTTTTGTAATATATTTAAAAATAAATTTTTAAAAATTTTTTGAACTTAAATTCATATTTATAAATAAAGCTATAGTAATCATCAAAAGTAATGCAATGCTTAAATTTTTTACTAATTATAATTAGTAAAATATGTAATTTTTCTTATATATAAAAGTTTTTAATTTTACTAACAAATATTTTTTATTTTTATCTCAAAAAATAGCTAAAGTTTACTAGTTTAACATATATTTTTTTCAGATTTTTCAGATTTTTTTACCAGTAACTTTTTCTAATTGCATATGAAGTTAATTAAATTTTTATTAATTATTAATTAGTAAAAATTAATTGACTTTATATATAATTAGAAAAAGTTGCCAGTAAAAAATCTGAAAAATCTGAAAAAAATATATGTTAAACTAGAAAACTTTAGTTCATTTTTGAGGTAAAATTAAAAACTTTTATATATAAGGAAAATTACACATTTTACTAATTATAATTAGTAAAAAATTTAAGCATTGAATTACTTTTGATGGCCACCATAATAAAAAGTTATATTTTAATAATAAATATAATAAAAATATTTGAATTATAAGAATAACAGAAATAAAAATTATAAAAATTGTTAAAAATTTAAGTTTAATTATATATATAATACATTTTTAATAAGGATAGAAAAGATAATAAAAATAATAATCATAAATTAAATTAATTTATTTCTTTTTGTGTTATATAAATTAAAACAATATAAATAAAGAAATATTTAAATTTTATATATTAATTATTATTTAAAGTATTTAAGAAAAGAGTACTTTACTTTAAATAATATTTTATAAGAGAAATATTTACTAATATGAACTATATTAATAAGAAAATTAATAAAATAACTTATAATATAAAATTATAATAAAAAATATAAAATATGAAATAAAATATATAAATAATAAAATAAAAATTACAAAATATGAAATTTGATATAATTTTATAAGCTTATGAAATTAATAATTTTCTTGTTATTATTATAATGATATTTTAAATTCTCTTCTACAAAATACTAGTTTCATATATTTTAATATTGCAAAATATTTTTTAAATGTGATTTTATTTGAAAATTTTATATTTTTTAAATATTTTCTTTATTTATTTTATTCAAGCTATATGATTTTTTCTGAAAGTAAAAAGAATAATTTTTGAGACATTCAAAACAAGAAATAGACGTGAGTAAACATGCTTATAGCTCATAAAGAAACTTTTTTATTAAAGTTGAAACATCACGTGCATCAAATTTTCGAAGATAACTTACAATTTGCAGAACTATAATTTGATCAAGCTTAAAACTTTCAGTTCAATAATATTTAAAATCAAATTTATTATATCAGTTGTGAAATTAGCAATGACTTGATATGATTTGAAAAGATGAAGTAACAGTATTGATAAATAGAAAAAAATAATGGAAAAATATAGTAATTGGACCGTTCAAAAAAAAGCAGACTGTAAGAACATTATTCGTTAAAATCCAGATTCAGAACGCTTATATAAAGTCATATGGTTTGCTGAAATTATTACACATATAATATCTGCGTCGTAAATGCATGTAATAACATAAGCGAAGTCACGGATTATACACTGGTTAATAATTGTAACCGTATGCTCAAATATCGATATCATTTGTTCGACATAGTGTGAACTAATTAATGGACCAACCGATTTGTGGTCCGTGGATTGACCAATCATCCAATAATTAAAGCAAAGGTGATAGTTTAAAAAGGTTATGTCCAAATCGGCAAAAACCTAAAAAAATTCAAAATAGAAATAAACTGTTTATCATTGATTACCGATATTTCCTCAACACAGTATTCAGAAGCTTTCGAATAAATCGATTCTCACAAAAAACCTTTATATTATTTATATTGTAAATTTTATTCGGTGATTTTCTTTTACTCATCTAATCCACAATGTCAATTTGCTAAAAAATTTGATTATATAATATAGGTTCAAATGAATAAAATATATAGCAATGAAAATATTATGCACACGCTCATTCATTTACCATAGTTTATTCAGTATTTACTTAAAGTGTTAATGTTATATTCTCAATTTTTAGCATATAACCAACAAAATATCATCATGGCATTTTTCTTTTACAATTCCTCCTTCGTCTCCTTTTTTTAATATTTAGGTTTTCCTATTTTCATTGTTTAAATATTATCAATAAGGGTACGGGTACAAAATTTTGAGATTTTCGGCCATAAATGTTTAGTTTGAATATCGAAAGTCAAAGTTCGATTCAAATTTCAAGAAACGAACAATCCGATCTCTAATACAGTAATTTGACGTTCAAATCTCATTTGGGATTCGAATTCTATTTCCCGCTTCAAACAAGTAACAAGTTAAATCGATTTATTTGATCGGAAATTAAATTAGAAACCAAACAATAAACCTAAATTCAATTTGAAACCACTGCTTCTCCCACATTGCTTTCCCAACGTGCTTTTCCTGTTGTTTATATACATGTATGTGCGTACATGTATTTGCAAGTGTAACTCATATTTGTCTTGCATTAATACATATACATGTGCATGTAATTGTTAGCAATATACACGTGTTTAAACAAGTGGCGTTTTATCTCTAAATACGGCACACAAATATTCATACATGCAAGTGTCTAGAGAAAACATCAAAGAAAAAAATCAATTCTAGCCTTAATCTCCGAGATGAAACCTCTAATATTGTTACACGAGTTGTTCATTTTTGAATATGATGTAATTGTTTTTTTTTTTTCCTAAATAAAGTTACAATATTTGTTCATACAAAATTTTGTGATTGCTCCACTGCACATAACGATAAACAAAAATACATGTAGTGCGTAAATTTATCGCGAAACAAAGAAAAAATGTGTGTTAACTACTGCTACATGTAATTTCTTTTTGTACGTAATCACAGATTTGATAACCAATACAATTTATTTTGTGATCTTTTAAAGTGTAAAAAGTCACATAACATCGAAACTTAAAAATTTGGTTTTTGAACAGAACGCGCAACTTTTTACCTATAGCAAATAATGGGGGTTAATTTATCGTTACCTAAAAACAAGAGAAAAAAGACAAAGGATGAAAATAGCATACATTCAATAGATGATGTGAGCAAAAAAAGTTCTGTTAATAGCGAACAAAAACACGAGTTTAACTATATTGGAGGTCGAAAGTTTTATGATAGTAATGTTGCGCCATATGTAGTAAGTTTCAAACTTATTTTTATTGAAGATATAGATCTATTTAAAAATAACTATATGTCATAATTAGTTGCCCGCGGATATAGAAGAGGATGATCGTATACATCAGCAACATTTCGCGCTTAAACACATTTGCGGAGGTAACTATACAGCTCCGATCCATGATATAATAAAACCCGGAAGTAGGATACTGGTAATAGATAGCATCACCTATTTCAAAGCTCCAAATTATGTAGCAAATTATATAAACTATATTTTTATTTTTATTTTTATTTAAGGACTTGGGTTGTGGTCCAGGCCAATGGACACTAGAAATCGCACAAGAATTCCCATATGCACAAGTATACGGTATCGACATAAGCGCGAATTTCCCAACTTCAATTAAACCGTCGAATTCACATTTTATAGTTGGTGATGTCACAAAAGGTTTACCTTGGGAAGACAACTACTTTGATTTTGTTTGGATACGATATTTATTCGTTGGAATAAAGGATGCAGATTGGCAGAATTTATATCATGAAGTAAAACGTGTATTAAAACCAGGCGGAATACTTGAACAACATGAGTGTGATGGACTTAGTAAGTATATTAAAATTTGCTCTAACGAATTTTGATATACTGAAATTCAATTTTTTAATGAAAAAATTTAGCTGAAAATCCTGGACCAAAACTAAAGAAAATTTTATACCATAGTAAGTACATGCATCATATTTGAAATATACAACTAAAAATTAATTAACAATCTATAAATTATTTATTTAAAGTAAATGAAGGACTCACTTCAAATGGTCTATGCTTTCGATTGGCATGCCAACTAAGTGAGCGAATTACGATGGCTGGATTCAAAAACGCACAGCCATCATACATATCTACAGCACTCGGAAGGTATGCGTATGTTTTGTGAATAATAATTTGGTTTTTTCTATTACTCAAATTTGTTTATATGAATAATAATATAGACAAGGAGGTAAAATTGGAGAAATATGGGCAGCAAATTTAAGAGAAGGTTGTGGCGCTATGAAACCTTGGCTCTCAAAACTCGCTGGTTTGACAGACACCGAGTACGATTTATTAATTCAATATATTTTCGACTATGAAATTGAAGAGTATAGTGTATATCATAACCATCATATAGTATGGGCTAGAAAAATTTAACGTTATGTTTTCATTATTGTAAATAATATAACTAAATGACTCAATAAGCTACAACTATCTAGTACATGATTGTTTACAATCAAGCCTTTTTATAATAATAAGACAACATTTTATAAAAGCTTCTACCATAAGCACTCCATTTTCAAGAAAAAATTATTTTAACTTTATCATTTATACGAAGAGATTTGTTAAAAAAGCTTTTTTATTTTACTTAAAAATTATTTATAATTAAAATATATCTACAGATAAAATTCTTATAAATATAATTAATTAGACTATGTATGAAAAGATATATAAAATTATTTTTATGTGAAGAGAAATTAGATGAGATACTTAATTAATTACAAAGAAAATATAAAAGATATTTAAATTATTAAAATATATTATAATAAAAATAAATTCTTTATTTAATATTTTATTTTTAATATTGATGATACAAGATAAAAATTATTCTATTTATGTATTTTTTAGTAATATATTTTCAATTAGCATAAATTAATTAATATTATATCTTATTAATAAAATTTTTTATATATTATATCTCAATTTATATTCCAATATATATTAAGAAAAGAGTAAATAAACTTGATTAATATTTAGACTATATTATATTTACTATATATACAGTATGTGACAAAAAAACTTAATTATACTAAATTTATTATAAATTCATGAATATTGCATCAAATTTAATAATTAATATATCATTTAAAAGCAAAAAAGTTATAGAATAAAATTTATTAGGCTTAAAAATTGATTTATTTATCATTGCTTTCAATAACTAACTCATAATAATATTTTATTGAATTTATTAAATTATTTAAAATGATTTTTGAAATAGAATCTCATTCTTCTTTCAAAAACTTCTTTAATATATTCAAATTTTTAGATATTTATTTCTTAATATTACTCTTAACAATAGTCTATAAATTTTTTATAGAATTAAAATCAGTTTGAATAATTTAGATATAAAATAAATATCTTTATTCTAATAATATAATAAGTTATATATCTTTATTTGTGAGTAATTAATAATATTTTAATAGTGAATTTTATAAGAATTTATTTAATAAATATAGTAAATAAATCTGTTATTTAATTTCAATTCAGTAAAAAATGACATAAATTAAGCTAAAATTGAAAATATTTATTTATTATTTAATATAATTAGCAAATAGTTAAGTTTTTTTGTCACACACTGTATATATATATATATATATAATTTTATAATTATCAAATATTAATTTCTTTTAATATTAAAATTTAAAATTTTATTAAGAAATAAATTTTATTTTATATTAAAATAAAATTTATTAATTTATAGTTTAATATATACTTTTTCAAATATTTTATTTTTCTAAAAGAATTATTTTATTATTATAAAAATTTTTTTATTTATACTAAATTTAATTAAAAAATTTTAATAATAATATTAAAATAGAATAACTCTTTTAAAATTTAAAAAATTTTATATTAAATTATATATTATAAAATTTATTATAATATAAATATAATATTATTTTTAATTTTATAAAAAATAAATTTGATAAATTATAATAATATAAAGCTAAAAAAGAAATTTATTAATAAAAAATAAAATTTATCTATTTTTATTTTTTTATTATTTCAAGATCTAGAAATTAAAAATAATTTGAAAATTATTAAAATATATTAAATAATAATATTTTAAATAAATAAATATTTATTTTAAATATTATTTTTAATTATTAAATTTTTATAAGATATATTATTAATTTAAATAATATATATAAATCAATTTTATTTTAAATAAATTTTTATTTTTTTAAAGTTATTTAATAAATAAATTAATAAATATATTAAATTTATTTAAAATTTTTTTTTGATATTTATCAATATAATAAAGTTATTTTATAATATTTTTTATATTTATAATATAAAAAAAATTAATTAATTATTATATTTAAAAAAGAGTATTTTAAACTAAAAATAAGTAAAATATTATTTATTTATTTAATAATATATTTGATTATTATATTATTTATAATATAATATATTTTTAATAAATTATATTTTTAATAATAATATATGAATTATTATATTTAAATATATTATTATAATTAATTATAACTTATAATAATTAAATAAAAAATTATAATTTAATTATAATTTTAGCTTTAAATATATTAAATCTATATAATAAAATATTTATTATATAAATATATATATATAATTATTTTATATATATATTTATATAATAATTATAATATATTATATTCAAAAAATTGGCTTATAAATTTAATTATATAATTTTTATAATTATATCTCTTATAATATAATAAATAGTTTTATTTAAAACTTAATTATATAATTATTTATTAAAATTATTTTTAATTAATTTTTTTAAAAAAATTTTATATTCAATTTATAAGTTAATTTTTTAAAAAATTTTATTAAGATTTTTTATTTTATAATTTAAGTAAACTTAATATATAAATATTTATTTTATTTAAATAATTATTTAATTTATTATAAATAAAAATTAATTATTATTTATTTTATATTATTATATATTAAAAATTTTTAAAATAAAAATTAAAATATATTTTTTTAAATATTAATAATTAATTTAAGCTATAATTAAATTTCTAGTTCTTTTATATTATTATTATTATAAAAAATTTATATTTTATATTATAATTAATTCTTTTTAAATATATATTTCTTAAAATTATAAAACTAATTTATTAAAATATATATTTAAAAAAAATTAATTTAATATAAATTTTATAAGCTTGAAATTAAATTAGAAAATATATTTAAAGAAATTATATCTAATATATATATTTTATAAAATATATATTTAGAGTTAATTATAATATTTTATAAATTATTTATATTATAATGATAACTAAAAGTAATAACTTAGAGACTAAATTTATTAATAAAATATAATAAAAATTGAAATTTTCTTTTTTATTAAAATTTATAATTTTATTAAGAAATAATTTTTATTTTTATATTAAAATAAAAGTTTATCAGTTATAGTTTAATATATATTTTTTTAGATTTTTTCTGAAAGAGTTACTCTAATTATAAAATTAATGCAAAAATTTTTATTAATTAAATCTTATTTTTAATTAGTAAAAATTTTTGTATTAACTTTATAATTAGAGTAACTCTTTTAGAAAAAATCTAAAAAATTACATATTAAATTATAACTAATAAACTTTATTTTAATATAAA